GCTCCTCCGGGGGCTTCCACTGCCTTTGAAGCGGATGACCTGAAGATTGGTGAGCTGTATGCTGAGCGCAGATTTCTCCACCGCCAATGTGGTGAGGAGGATCTCCACTTTGAGCCCCCTTTTAGGGGTTGAGGTGTTGACACCTCAGTTATCAAAACTCATTTTTTTATCCCAGAGGGTGAGGCTGACAGAATTGCTAAGCAGCTCTGAGTTGCTTAGCTCTAGACACCAGCGCCTGCACTCCCAGAGCACAACTCTAGGTGGCGCCATTCACACAGAATTTCATGTGTAGACCCCTCACCCCCAGTAGGGAAATGTGGGTGGTGGGCCATCTTAATGCCTCTTGGAGAACCAGCAATATTCAAGTGAAACAAAGATGGACAAAATGACAGTTTAAGTTAAGTCCTTGTGAGACATAGGCACTGGAAAATGGAGCTGTACCCTGGAGCGGTGTGCAGTCTAAGATTAGCAGGAAGCAGGAATGACAGAGTACATCTATCAGGAAAGAAAAATGATCTTTACAAAGCCCTAGATAGAAATGTGGTAGTGGTCAAACAGTGGTCAGCACTTGGGAAGCTGAAGTGGTAGGGCCATGAGTTCAAGGTCATCCTAGGCTACAAAAAAAGCCTATTTTAAAGAAACAAATAACAAATCCTGGATGCAGGAAGATAAGTCACAGGTAGTGCTCACTGGGGCCTGGTACTTAGCTGGCGCACATCTAATTGGAGGTAAATAGGAAGCAGAGCCTGCATTCCAGATTTGGGGTCTTGAGGGTTGAGTGACTCGGCCACACGGGTTACACTTGTGTTCGTGAATGGGAAATCGCTGGAATCAGAAATGGAATCTTGGCCCAGATGGGGGTCAGGAATTTATTTCCTTCTTTTTTCTACTTAAGAAAGCTTAGTTCATTGTTTAAGATGAAAAATAACAACCAGATGAAGGGAGGATCGTTGGGAATGATAAGTAACACCCTCCAGATGGGGCCACCGGGCTGGGCTGGATGGGCTGCCTGGAGCACTCACATCACAGCTGCACAGCTTTTTGAGGCCTCTTCTGTGATGTCTTTAGGATCTGTGACTCAATTTTTGGATTGCTATTTGTGTTTTTTGCTTTGTATTAAGTCACTGAAATTTATAGTTTATGCTGATTGATTCAAATATTTTATAAACTGGCTTTAAAGTCAATTAAATATACATATATATTACTGTGTGTGCGAGCTCTCACTTGCTTGACTGTGTGTATATATGCCACATGTGTTCAGGGGTCCATGGAGACCAGAAGAGGGTGTTGGATACCATGGAGCTAGAGTTATAGGCAGTTATGAGTGACCATGTGTGTGTTGGGAACTGAACCCAGGACCTCTACAAAAGCAGCCAGCGTTTGACCACTGAGCCATGCCTTCAGCGCCTAATGCCCTTTCTTCTTTTTCTTTTTCTTTTTTTTTTTTTAATTTTGGAGATAGGGTTTCTCTGTGTAGCTCTGGCTGTACTGGATTTCTCTCTGTAGAACAGGCTGGCTTTCAGCGTGGAGATCCACTTGCCTCGGTTTCTAAGTGCTGGGACTAAAGGTGTACACCATGCCTGGTCTCCTAAAGTCATTTTTTTTCTTTTTTTTTTGCCATTTTTTTCAAATGCATATTTTTATTGATTTTTATTGAGCTCTACATATTTTTCTGCAACCCTCCCTGCCTCTCCCATCCCCTTCAACCCTCTCCCAAAGTCCTCATGCTCCCAATTTACTCAGGAGATCTTGTCTTTCTCTACTTTCTACTTCCCATGTAGATTAGATCTATTAAGTCTCTCTTAGGGTCCTCATTGTTGTCTAGGTTCTCTGGGATTGTGATTTGTGTGCTGCTTTTCTTTGCTTTATGTTTAAAAACCACTTATGAGTGAGTACATGTGATAATTGTCTTTCTGTGTTTGGGTTACCTCACTCAAAATAATGTTTCCTAGCTCCATCCATTTGCCTGCAAAATTCAAGATGTCATTATTATTTTCTGCTGTGTAGTACTCCATTGTGTAAATGTACCACATTTTTCTTATCCATTCTTTGGTTGAGGGGCATTTAGGTTGTTTCCAGGTTCTGGCTATGACAAACAAAGCTGCTATGAACATAGTTGAGCACATGTCCTTGTGGCACGATTGAGCATCCTTTGGATATATACCCAAAAGTGGTATTGCTGGGTCTTGAGGAAGGTTGTTTCCTAATTTTCTGAGAAATCACCATACTGACATCCAAAGGGGTTGTACCAGCTTGTATTCCCACCAGCAACGCAAAAGTGTTCCCTTTTCCCCTCATCCTCTCCAGCATAAGTTGTCATCAGTGTTTTTGATCTTGGCCATTCTTACAGATGTAAAATGGAATCTCAGAGTTGTTTTGATTTGCATTTCTCTGATGACTAAGGATGTTAAACATTTCTTTAAGTGTCTTTCAGCCATTTTAGATTCCTCTGTTGAGAGTTCTCTGTTTAGGTCTGTACTCCATTTTTTTATGGTATTATTTGGTTTTTGGATGACCAATTTCTTGAGTTCTTTGTATATTTTGGAGACCAGACCTCTTTCTGATGTGGGGTTAGTGAAGATCTTTTCCCATTCTGTAGGCTGTCGTTTTGTCTTGTTAACCATGTCCTTTGCTTTATAGAAGCTTTTCAGTTTCAAGAGGTTCCATTTATTAATTGTTTCTCTCAGTGTCTGTGCTGCTGGGGTTATATTTAGGAAGTGGTCTCCTGTGCCAATACATTCAAGTGTACTTCCCACTTTCTCTTCTATAAGGTTCAGTGTGGTTGGTTGGCTTTATGTTAAGGCTAAGGACATTTTTTAAAGATGGGATTGCAGAAATGTTATTATCAACAGAGGTGCATATCCTCCTACCATAATTGCTTTGAAGGCTAGCCCTCAGCTGTCTCACTGCGCTGGCTTAGAGATGCTGATCATGGACAAATATTCTCTATGTTCTGTCGTAACAGAATATACTCTGCCAGCCTCCCTTCCCTCCAACAGGGACAGGGGTGAGTTCTCTCTCTCTCTCTCTCTCTCTCTCTCTCTCTCTTTCTCTCTCTCTCTCTCTCTCTCTCTCTCTCTCTCTCTCTCTCTCTCTCTCTGTGTGTGTCTCTGTCTCTGTCTCTCTCTTAGTTTTTGTTTTTCGAGATGGGGTTTCACTGTGTAGCTCTGGCTATCCTGGAACTCACTTTGTAGACCAGGCTAGCTTCGAACTCACAAAGATCCATTTGCCTCTCCCTCCGGAGTGCTGGGATGAAAGGCATTCTCACAGGCACATTCGTGTTTGCCTTTGCTAAAGGAAGGAGTGAACAGAGCCCCATTGCTGTGCCCACAAGGCAGGCCCAAGGGAAGGTGGGGCATTTACCTGCACTGCAGCCACGTCCAACCGCACCCTCTCTGGACTGGCTCTGTCCACTCTCCAGAGGACTTGCTTGGTTGGAAAGGTGTTGCCTGGTTCTAGTTCAGGGCTCAGATTCCTTTCTTGTCTGAGATGTGTTTACTGTTTGCGTCTGAGTGCTTTGCCTGCATATGTGCCTGTGCACCATGTATGTATGTGCCTGGTGCACGTGCACCATGTATGTATGTGCCTGGTGCACGTGCACCATGTATGTATGTGCCTGGTGCACGTGCACCATGTATGTATGTGCCTGGTGCACGTGCACCGTGTATGTATGTGCCTGGTGCACGTGCACCGTGTATGTATGTGCCTGGTGCACGTGCACCGTGTATGTATGTGCCTGGTGCACGTGCACCGTGTATGTATGTGCCTGGTGCACGTGCACCGTGTATGTATGTGCCTGGTGCACGTGCACCGTGTATGTATGTGCCTGGTGCACGTGCACCGTGTATGTATGTGCCTGGTGCCTGTGCACCATGTATGTGCCTGGTGCCTGTGCACCATGTATGTATGTGCCTGATGCCTGTGCACCGTGTATGTGCCTGGTGCCTGTGCACCATGTACGTGCCTGGCGTCCAAGGAGGTCAGAAGAGGGTGTCAGATGATGGGAAGACTGGAGTTCTGGAGGATTCTGAACTACACTGTGGTGCTAGGAACCAAACCAGAGTCCTCTGTGAGAACAGAATGCTCTTAACCGCTGAGCCATCTCTCTAGACCTAAGAGTCTTTTCTTTAAACTTATTTATTAGCACACACCTTTAATCTTCAGCACTCTGGAGGTAGAAGCAGGCTAATCTCTGTTGAATTCTCAGCCATCCTGATTTACAAACAATTTTTGGGCCAATCAGGGCCCTGTCTCAAAAAGAACAATAAAATTATGAACGGTGCTAAAGATCAAACCAGACCTTCGCACATGCTAGCCAAGAACTTTGTCCTTGGGTTAAGTTACTTCCTCAGCCCCAGATTAATTCCTTATTTGTCTACATACGATTTACATACAAAAATCAGCTCTAAGGTTTAAAAGAGGGAATCTGTTATTTCATAAATTATGTAAAGTGCACTTTTCACAACAGTAGACAGGAGCTAGCCACAGTGGTGCACACCTATAATCTTGGCTTTTGGGAGAATGAGGCAGAGGATCCAAAGCTTGAAGCCGGCCTGGGTCTCTGTCAAGCAATAAACAAAAAGAGGGGGCAGGGGAGTCTTAACAAACCTAAATGAAGAGCTATAGTTGTGGAAACTTCTAGAGCTTGCCTGTCTCAAAGAAAGTGCAGAAAGAATACAGGTCAGGGAGACAGAGGCAAGTAGGAACTCTTGTCTGCTTTGGGCAGTGGGTGCTGTCCTTTTGAGAAGAGCTCGTGTAGGGCTTGAGTCTCAGGCGGATTAGGTGGGTTACCAGGCTGAGGCCAGGAAAGGGTGACCTCCAAGAGGCCCCACAAGGCAGAAAGTTCAATGAGGCTTTGCGGGTTGTCTGAGCTGCAATCCCAGGATTGTAGGCTGAAGGGACCTAATCCCTAGCCTTTACAGCCCTGAAACTGGCAAGGGACTTCCTTGTGAATTCTGATTAGATGATTAATTTTTTTATTGAGTTTTTTTGATTTCCAGAGCTGGTTCCACTCCCAACTAGCTGCCCACCTGCCTCCCAGCGGTGAAGGACAGAGGTGAGGAGCATCCCACCCCTGCCCTGGTTCAGGAAGCAGAGAGCAGGGAAGGTGGGAATCCCTCCACCACCTCCACAGCGGTGTCACTCCAGAGGCAAGAGGCAAAGGCACTGAAGTCACAGGAGGGCCTGTACAAAGGAATCCTCCACATTGCCTGGCTTTTCTGGGCTAATGAGTAACACAGGGTAGGGAACATACCTCCAAACCTTTCTACGGTAAATCCTGGCTGTTCTTGAAACTGTTTACCCTCCTCCCAGGGATTAGGAACCTGTTTGAGTTAAAAGGGCAGAGAGAGGCCAGGGCTTGGTTCTGTCCCCCACCTGCTCTCAAGGGCTAAGGCCTGAGTGCTGAACCAGCAGGAAAAAAGAGTGAGGGAACCCTGTTTGCAATCTGTCTCTCCTATTGATCTCCTGCCTTGCAGCTGCTTGGCCACTTTTGAGTCTTGATCCTCTCCACCAAGTTTCTCTTCTCACCATAGCCCTGGTCAAATATCAGCGGCGTGGGGAGGTGGGATGCCATGTTGCCGTGCTGTGGATGGGGCTCCTGTCTGTTAGATGTGCCCTTCTGATGGGAGCCCCCACCCCAGATCCCTGACCAACCCTAACTTCACCCTGAAGGAAAGAGGAATCCGGACTCTTTTAGCCGCAGAAACAGCTCTGTTTGAGTTTTATAAAAATTCAGGTTTAGTATTTCATTAGAGCAATGTGATCTTAAAACAGAATGGAGCAAAGGCGCTGTTCCCTCGGGTGTCCTGTTGGTGAGGACATTGTCATTTGTTGTTGAAGCACAGAGCTCTTTTCCAGCAGTGTGTGCCCACACATGTGCAAACGCGCATATGTGCAGGTATATTCACCGCCAGGCAGGACCTGGCAGCATGCCTACAGAGGTATGTGTCACCCACACAAACATACAATCTGGCAGAGTCATAATCGCATTGGGCGAGACCCACAAGCATCTGCAGACAGCCCCTCGATGGTCCAGAGAGCCTGGGGTGACTCTGGTGTGAGGGAACTTCAGCAACAGTGAACACAATGACCCCCCTCGAGTCCCTCTAGGGCTTGGAGAACACAGTTTTCCTTGGGGAGCAGGACTGGAAGGAACAGCATATTTCCTACCAGAGCCTCCAGAAGCACAGCAGGCAGCCTCGGGGCGTTGGTTTTACAGTGTACGTTGTCTCCTGCTGAGGTTCAAGGTGCTTCGGTGCAGACAGTAAAGGAGCACAGTCCTGCTTTAAGGATGAGAGAGGCACAGCTGATGGCCTGCCCACCATCCCGTACACTGTATAGAAGCCTAGCACAGGAAGGTTGTGTGACGTTGGGCTATCTTGTAGCCCTAAGCTAAAGAAGGAACAGATGACTAATGTGGTGGGGGCCCACATGTGAGGACCCTGGGATCCCAAGGAGTGGGGACAAAGGGTCAGGAGAGTGGGTGTCTGTCTGTCTGGAAGGGGAGGGAAGAGAAAGGGAATGGTGAAAAGAAAAGAAGAAATTCAAACAAAGGCCTGAGCCTGCTCAAGACTACCAGATTCATACAAAGGGCAGGAGAGGTAGTGGGGGGCTGGGAAGGGCTGGCTGGCAGGGAGGCCCAAGGGAGAGCCCCAGGGAGGCAGTGTCCTCTTCAGGAAAGGTGGGCAGGAAGGCAGGGAGGAGAGGAGCCCTGCCCACTGGCAACACAGACCTGCTTCCCCTTCTCCTCGTACCAAGCCAGCATTGTGGCCCCTGTCAGCCTCCCTGAGCCCAGGGCTGAGATTGACGGGACTGCAGCTTCTCTGGGTCCTGGGTGGATTTGAATAATTAAGTCATCTGGATTCTTATGATTTACCATTTTCAATGATAAATAGACAGCGTCCAAGCCAGCCAGTTGGCAAAACTCTGGCTGTTAGTTATAATTTGTCAAGCTGCCAGCAGATTCATGTTTTATGCTAATGGAGGAAGACTCATTGACTAGGGGCGGCTGCGACCCGGTCAGCTCTTTCCTTAGGCACCCATGAGGTCGAGAGGTCGGCAAAGAAGGGCTGAGGCTGATATGGATTTTATGTAAGGGTCGGTGTAATTTTGTAATAATTCAGTGGCACACACACGCTGGCACATAGAGGGTCACATATGCAGATGTATGTTCAGGACCCCACACCCATATCCCTTCCACACATGGGCAGTTGCACCCACACAGGTCTCTGCACCTGGGGTACCTCGGACTGGACTGGGTATTTCTCCAGCGCTACAACCCGCTTGCGCATGCGCACTCTTGCCACCACCTTATACCAAGATAAACTTCCAGACATGTTTAGCAGCTTGGAGAAAGCGTATCACCCCTACATCAGACACCCACACCACACTGTGACACAGCGTACACCACAAAGATGCGCGGCACCCAGGACCCCTTTTCCGTCCATCCCACACCCCCCTTCATTTCACTGACGAAAGCACCAAATCCGGTGCATTTTCCCAGGGTGGGAAGGGCTTAGCGCCATCCGCTTTTCATCTGGCTGGGGCCACAGAAATAGAGCTGAGAAGACAGAGGCCCTGAGACTTGACATCTTCAAGGCTGGATGAAAACCAACTGAACTGAGTCAAATTTCCTTTTTTCCTTTTGTTTATTTGTCTATCTGTCCACAGCACACTGAGGTAGAGGTGATGCTTTGCCCGAGATGAGTACAAAAGAAAGCATTAAGCATGACAGCTAAAGCACTGGATGCAAAATGGACAAAACTGTTCATTTCCCTCCTCGTTCTCCACCTTAGCAAATGTGCACACCATTGCCGAGAACAGGCATGGGTCTGGGCAAAGACCGCTTGTTCCCGGTGTGGAAATCCTGGCCTTGGTGTTAGGAAATGCTAATTCTAGACCAATTAAAACAGTCTTCGCTCTCTTCTGACCCAGGTGCCCTCACAACAGATCAGTGTGCGCAGGGAGAACGGAGAAGAAAGCGGCTGCCCTTCTTAGAAGAGAATTTGAATTTTCTTAGATTATTGGCAGGGCTGGAAGCTGCAACCCCCCCCCCCCCAGCTTTGAGGTTGACAGGAGCACAGGGAAAGCGATTGGAGGATGGGGTTAAACATTCACCATCCTGTCTGCAAACCTGGGGGGGGGGCAATGAAAACCATACAAAACTGAGAACAGCAAGGAGCTCAGAGGAGGAGCTGTTTGCCAGCAAGCTTTGTTCCCCATGTCTGCTCCATAGGCCGAGATCCGGGCTCCTCTGAAGTTCATTGGGTTCTCTCCTTTTCAGAGCCAGGAGAGAGTAGAGAAATGGGTGTGGGTAGATAGTCCAGTCCTTTCCACAATCACCTGGATTGGGCCACTTTTCTTTCCTCTGCAGATGTGGATTCTGGCAGGGCAGGGGTGCTGGCGGATAGGGGCAATCCATGTTCTGGTTTTCAGGAGCCAGAATCTGACAGCCTCTTCACCCAAGGGAAATAAGACCCCTAAATGCACCAAGAATAGGGAAACATGATTTCTGTTTTGGAGATTTTGAGATTTTAATATGTGTCACTGACCTTCACCCCAAGAGCACTAGCACCTGTGTTCTAAGAACAGGGATGGGATAGAAATGGAAATGAAGGGGCCCAGCGGTGTTGGCCTTTAATCCCAGCACTCGGGAGGCAGAGGCAGGCAGATCTCTGTGAGTTCGAGGCCAGCCTGGTCTACAAGAGCTAGTTCCAGGACAGGATCCAAAGCTACAGAAAAAACCTGTCTCAAAAACAAACAAACAAACAAACAAACAAAAAACAAAAAACAAATGGAAATGAAGAATTGTCTACAGTGAGTCTAGGGGATGTGAAGGTCAAAATCACAGCTGATACAGAGAGCAAACTGGTATCCTGCCCCTGGTTAGCAAAGCTCAGCTTCTTCTTTGAATCCCTGTATTTGAATCCTCATTATGAACTCCAGAGGCAGAGTGTGTGCCAGCCAGCCTCAGGGTCTCAGAGCAGAGGCTGCTGGGATACAAGGAGCAAGAGTCCTGGCTTGGTCTAGACAAAAGGGGAAAGAGCACCAGAAAGAAACAAAGGGTGGGGGAGAGAAAGAGAGGGAAGGAGAGGAGAGGGTAGGGGAGGATGAGAGGGAAGGAGTGCTGGACAGAGGCAGGTACCAGCAAGGTGGCACTAGCTTTGCCTCGCTAGCTGTTGGACTGGGTTCCCAGTCTACACTCAGGGTTGCATGGCTCTTGGAAGATCTGACCCAAAGACCTATCCCATTCCGTTTTGGAGAAACAAAGGGGATTTATTTATTTATTTATTTATTTATTTACTCTAGTGCTAAAGTCAGACCCAGGACCTCACAAATGCTAGGGAAATGTTCCATTCATACATGCCCAGACACACAGATGGACCTGAGTCATGTACACACACACACACACACACACACACACACACAGAAGCTGGAGTCATGGCATGGGCGAACGTATAGTTTCAGTAGGAGAACACTTGCCTAGCATAGATGAGGTGCTGGATTTGATTCCCAGTACTAAAACTTGAATCTAACTGGACAGTTTCTACCAGTACACCAGGGTCAGGGCATAGGAGATGCAGGACAGGCCCAACAGGCAACATATACTCAAATATACCAAGTGGATCCCTCTACAGGCAGAGTCTAAAATCATTTTAACAACTCATCTCTTGTATGGGTTCTGTAAATTACCCTATGCACTTGAGACTTGCTTGTCATAGAGACTGTCCTTATTCTCTTCCTCACACAGAATTCCTTCTTTGATTTTCCAGGATTTACAAACCTCAGACCAAATTCTTCTCAAATGAATCTCACCTGTCCTAGCATGAGGGTACCTCTTAACCTTGTAGAGTTTTTTGTTTTGTTTTGTTTTTTGATACTTGATGGGGAGGGGGTAGCAAAGGGTATCCTTTTGCTAAGGATAGAAGGTTTTTTTTTTCTTCAAACAGTGTACAGTGGCTTATGCTAATTTCAGCACTCAAAAGGCTGAGGCAGGAGGACTGCTGTGAGTGCAAGACCACCCTGTGCTACATAGGAAGTACCAGGACAGCCTAG